CGTAATCCCTAAACGATTTTATTGGCTGTAGTTTTGTGCTACCCTGATGTAATGCAAAGCTGAAGTATATGGTCTTGCCGTAGGCCATCGCAAGGTTAATTGGGTAGTAGTAGTAGGTACACAATTGTTGTAGAGTGTTGTCTTTATTGAAAAATATAAATTCTGTTACGATTATCCTTGACTACTTGACGGATTTACCAAACCTCTGGGTTCGTATCGCTGGATTGTTTAATAAACGCTCAAGATCCAAATTACAGTACAATTACCTTTATTGTACAAAACACGCTTTACAATATTCGCTAATTCAGCAAAAGTTAACAATACTTGTTAAAGCAATTAAAACACTTTACAAAGCTTGCAAACACAACTGTAGCTTGCTGAATCGCCACTGACATGCGATGCGCCTGTAGCAGCGGCCTTATATACCTGCGCTCGACTCATGGCAACTCTAGAACGTAACTTTCAACTACACGTATATACATGAGAGTGGTCAACTAAGATTGTTCTATATCGAAAAAAATATATGTACCCCTATTTTTATTTTGAAATCAAATATATAGTTGTTTTTCTCCCCATATAAATACATGGAAAACTTTGAGCGACCTCTAAATATTTTAAAAATAAAAAGTAGGGGTATATTTTTTCGCTATGAACAATCTCTACGGCGTGAGACCATAAAAATTCCGACCTTACTTTTTTTATTATGTGATATTATGAGGGTTGCCAGATTTTTGTTCTCAAAGTTCGGTACTTTAGATTTTTTTTGCCCTATCAGTCAGAACCACCATGGGAGAGTAGGTGGATGTGTCTTTTCCATCAACCTCAAATTTTGGTCACCAAATCGTTACAATGTTGCCAGGCATAGGTAAGATGGGAGCTTATACCCCCGTAGCCAGATGGCCAAAAAGGCTTATATCTTTTATTCTACGTACGAAATCGTCTGGAAATCTCTCTCGACCGCTACAGAATATAGCGCTATCAGCTAATATGGACTCCAAACGAAAGCAATATCCTTTTAACTTTGAAGTAGACAAATAGGTTATTTCAGATCTTTCAGATTTTCAATTGAAATTAATATAATTTGGCAATAAATAGTTTTTGTAACTAACCCCCCTATTATGAATTCATACGATGCACGATAATACGCTTGTATTCTGTTGTTCTCTATTACGAATCGATGTTGTATGAAATCCGATAGTTAGCGTAGCTGATTTGTGCTAGTTTGCAAGTAAAAGTGAACAAAAACCACAGCCATTAACAACAATACACCTGTCGGGCATATGAAAACGTTAATACGAGAACTGATATCATACGATACGCTTGCAAGCGTTTATCGTCTATCGTATGAAAATTCATATTAGGGGTGTAAGTGACATTTTCCTTTAAGACAAATTTTAAGAAAAAAACTGGTTTCAAACTTTTTAAATAAAACTACAAATTAAAAAACGATCGCTTTAAGACTCATCGCTCGTCAAAGGTTAAATTTTTTTACAAAAATTTTAAATATCACAAGCAATATAAAAATAACTGTTTTTTAAATTAATTTTCTTGTTCGGTTGTAAGTAATTTCGGCCACAAAATTTAGTCAAATTACCCACGCAGAGCTTTGTTCTTTCGGCCTCTCGGCCATGGCGACTGCTGGAGCAGCGCGACAAAATTGATATATGTACATACATACTTATTCGTCTCCAAATGGAGCATGCGCAAGTGCTTTCTCAAGTTCGCAGAAATTGCAAGTTTTTTTGAGGCTTTCGCCTAGAATGAGCAAAATCTTCTCACTATCTTTCTACCTACTGTATTTCAATTGTCTTACAACTATCTTAGCCAGAATTGCCCTGTTATAATATTAATCTTGGCAATGACAGTTTCAGCCTAGATTGACCCAAATCACTCGGATCCAAGTTCAGATAATGAATTTGACAATTACTAATAAGTAAAAAAGTTATTAGAATTTATTTATGTATTCATACAAACTAAATATTGTTCACTTACAGTTATTTATATAGTACATGCGTGCATACATACATACATACTAGCAAACACATAAAAAGTCTTAAAGGCAAAATCTAAGAAAACAACTTACACGCTAAAAATCTAAAGCTACGATTTACCAAAAGCATTAAAAACATGAACTAGTCAAATACACTTTTCAATTAAAGCAGAATATGTTTCCAAAACTGACTCAATCATCTAACAATTCTTGCTTGACTGCATGACTGATGGCGGCTGGTGTTGATGACGCCGAGCCGTAATTGGTGGATGAAGTGGGCGCCGAGTTGTTTCGCAGTAAATTGGCGCTGGACCGCGTGAACGCGCCACGATGTGCATTGAGCGTCGACGCTGGCGACATTGACGAGGCTGCACTGGTCGTATTGGTGGTGGTGCGCACGGTGGACGATATGGAGGCGACATTCTTTGGCAACGCTGTCATAGCACTAGTGCTAGACGCCACCGCCGGACTCTGCAGCAGTGTGCTGAGGCGACGTATCATCGCCAGATCGGCCGCATTTATGGTGGGAGAACTAGAATTGAGGGTATTCAGCGGCGAGGCATAGCCAGAGGCGCTAGGCGATGAGGTAGGTGTCGGAGTAGGTGTGGGTGGTGGTGTGCGTCCTTTGTTGTTTGGTATATAGCCATTCGTGTAGGCGGCAGTGGCGTTGGCGACATAACCATTACTAAACGCTGTACCATTGCTGCTGGCATTAGAAACGTGACCGTTATAGCTATTATTGGCCTGCGACGAACGACGTGCTGAGCTACAGCTCGCTGTTGTGTTTTCGAAAATTTCACCAATCACTTCATAGATACGTTTCTTGAAAATTATCTTCTGACGAAAGTCCATTGCCTTCATTTCGGGCAGCAGACCTTGTAGAAACGCGGCGTCAAAGTCAGGATCGGGTGTGCAGAGTTCGCTGGGTTGGGGCTGTGTATCGGCAAAAAAAAACAAGTTTAATTTAAAATGAAAAAGTAATAAAAAGCTGCAAAAACTAACCTTTATATCGCGCTCCGGCTCCACTTCCGCGCACATCATTGTTTCAGCTGGGCGCAGTCGCTTCTTAAATGGATACAATGGCATTACAGGTACTGGTACTTCTGCCACAATGCGTTCCACCACTTCCATTGGTTCAACAGGGAGTGCAGGCGGTAACGGTAGCGGTAAAGGTAGCGGCAGCTGCTGCTGCTGCTGCTGTTGTTGTTGCGGTTGTTGTTGTTGTTGCAGTTGTGTAGGTACAGATTGTGTTTGCTGTTGGGATTGTAGTGGTTGTTGATGCTGCACCAGTGGCAGTGGTGAGTTTTGCGCTGGCAATGTATTCTCCCCACCATCTGCTTGCGCCTCTTGTGCCGACTGGCTCTGTGATGCTTGCTCTCCCTTGCCCGACATGGTAGCCTCATCTACACTACTACTCGGCGCACGTTCTTGCTGTGACTCATCCTCATCGGTGCGCTGCTCATCGTCCTCTTCTTCCTCCTGTGCCGCCATGGCAGCAAAGCCATCAAATGACTCCTCACCGATGGGCACTTCAATCATTTCGCTCTTCTCGTCAGCAGATGTGTAGTAGTTGGGGCGACGTGATACCGGTATACCGGGGGTGATGTGGCGCGCTAGAAACTGCAACTCTTCATGCAGATAATAGGGTTTGGTACGATTAGCACTGGACGGAACTTTGTTTACATTGATGGAGCGCGCAAAAGAGGTGCGTATATTGCGCCAGCGTTCCTTGCATGATGGTACTGAAAGAGAGAGTGGAGATGGAGATAATATTAGGCATATTTTAAGTAATTTATAGTTAAATGAATGAGTGATTAAATTAAAAGTTTTTGCTAATCATATTTAATACAGGATAGCGTTTGCTTCAATATTTCCTACTGTCGATATTCAGAATAAACTATCCCGTAGATATACTGTTCGATAAACCGATACCGCAGGCGGGCTCGCGCTCAGAGACCGAGTGTTTTCTTTTTTCTTGAAGTCTGCAACGAAATGCGCTTGNGGTAAAGGTAGCGGCAGCTGCTGCTGCTGCTGTTGTTGTTGTTGCGGTTGTTGTTGTTGTTGCAGTTGTGTAGGTACAGATTGTGTTTGCTGTTGGGATTGTAGTGGTTGTTGATGCTGCACCAGTGGCAGTGGTGAGTTTTGCGCTGGCAATGTATTCTCCCCACCATCTGCTTGCGCCTCTTGTGCCGACTGGCTCTGTGATGCTTGCTCTCCCTTGCCCGACATGGTAGCCTCATCTACACTACTACTCGGCGCACGTTCTTGCTGTGACTCATCCTCATCGGTGCGCTGCTCATCGTCCTCTTCTTCCTCCTGTGCCGCCATGGCAGCAAAGCCATCAAATGACTCCTCACCGATGGGCACTTCAATCATTTCGCTCTTCTCGTCAGCAGATGTGTAGTAGTTGGGGCGACGTGATACCGGTATACCGGGGGTGATGTGGCGCGCTAGAAACTGCAACTCTTCATGCAGATAATAGGGTTTGGTACGATTAGCACTGGACGGAACTTTGTTTACATTGATGGAGCGCGCAAAAGAGGTGCGTATATTGCGCCAGCGTTCCTTGCATGATGGTACTGAAAGAGAGAGTGGAGATGGAGATAATATTAGGCATATTTTAAGTAATTTATAGTTAAATGAATGAGTGATTAAATTAAAAGTTTTTGCTAATCATATTTAATACAGGATAGCGTTTGCTTCAATATTTCCTACTGTCGATATTCAGAATAAACTATCCCGTAGATATACTGTTCGATAAACCGATACCGCAGGCGGGCTCGCGCTCAGAGACCGAGTGTTTTCTTTTTTCTTGAAGTCTGCAACGAAATGCGCTTGGCCCATTTGTTCTGTTTATATATTTCATTACTGTTTGCTTACCGTTGTCTATGTGCGCACATGCACTCCGCATATGGCATACAAAGAAAACTATTGACGTCGCAGGCTGTTTCGAGCCCTCAATCATGTGCAGCAGCTTGGGGTCACGACAGAAAAAGAAGAGGCTTCGGTGGAGTCACCCAGTCAACTTATTCAGCAAAGAAAACATATATTTTGTCCTACTGTTGGAAACTCCAGCCTTCACGAGCACAAATCCGACGACATGAACATGATAGTTCGTATTACTAGACCAAAGGAACCAAATCGATCNACCCATTTCTTCTGTTTATATATTTCATTACTGTTAGTTTTTTTTTCACTCCGCAAACGGCATACGAAGAAAATTATTGCCGTCGCAGGCTGTTTTGAGCCCTCAATCATGTGCAGCAGCTTGGGGTCACTACAGAAAAATAAGAGGCTTCGGTGGAGTCACCCCAACTTATTCAGCAAAGAAAACATATATTTTGTCCTACTGTTGGAAACTCCAGCCTTCACGAGCACAAATCCGACGACATGAACATGATAGTTCGTATTACTAGACCANGAGAGAGTGGAGATGGAGATAATATTAGGCATATTTTAAGTAATTTATAGTTAAATGAATGAGTGATTAAATTAAAAGTTTTTGCTAATCATATTTAATACAGGATAGCGTTTGCTTCAATATTTCCTACTGTCGATATTCAGAATAAACTATCCCGTAGATATACTGTTCGATAAACCGATACCGCAGGCGGGCTCGCGCTCAGAGACCGAGTGTTTTCTTTTTTCTTGAAGTCTGCAACGAAATGCGCTTGGCCCATTTGTTCTGTTTATATATTTCATTACTGTTTGCTTACCGTTGTCTATGTGCGCACATGCACTCCGCATATGGCATACAAAGAAAACTATTGACGTCGCAGGCTGTTTCGAGCCCTCAATCATGTGCAGCAGCTTGGGGTCACGACAGAAAAAGAAGAGGCTTCGGTGGAGTCACCCAGTCAACTTATTCAGCAAAGAAAACATATATTTTGTCCTACTGTTGGAAACTCCAGCCTTCACGAGCACAAATCCGACGACATGAACATGATAGTTCGTATTACTAGACCAAAGGAACCAAATCGATCATGTTCTAGATATCTCTATGTGAGGAGAAAACATCAACTCGTTTCACTACCTTATTGTAGTTTAAGTCCGAATGCGCGTTTACGAAAAATGGAAAAAGGAAAGTCAGAAATCGTAAGTGCGAAAAGCTCAAGGGGAGGATGATAAGTAGATCTGGGGCTCTAATATACCAGCAGAAAATAACATAGCAATTAAATGGTTCAAGACTGAGGCTATTTCCTGCAGACGAAGACAGAAATGTGCTAACAGATGCCCAGAGGACGCTTGAAGTATGGAGGGAAATTTCCTCAATGCTTTTGAGAAGCGATGCTGATAGTGCGTCCGATGAAGAACCTAGCTTAGTCTTTAGGGACGAAGCTCACATCCCACCACCCGACCAAGACCACGATGTAGAAAACAAAGGTGGCATCCCTCCCGTACCGCTGTTGCGCTCTCAGCGAATTTGACAAAATCGCTATTTGTATGGCGTCATACTTGTGTAATTTGTTTACGTTTTTTCTTGAAAAAATTTCTCTTGCATTCTGGTTCGCCTTTTGACATTCCTCTCGCAACTGTACCAGTGTGTCGTGACGCAAATATTACTCTCAGAAAACCTCTCTGATGGGTGTAATCTGGTATTCTATCATTCTTGGCCCAGGACGCGGTCATAACCGAAATAATGAGGCTGTAAAACAACAAATATTTTACAGCTGAGGGCTTGTCATTCAGCTATTATACGTGAGCTGCGAGTCGATAAGGTGCATGCATCTACCTTTGTACACAGTACGGCCGGAAGAGCGCATTCCTTCTGACCGTAATTTAAGTGTGCTCTGCCCGGTCCTTTCGTATTCCTCAATTACCAAGTAAACATATTTCTAAACACCGCCCACAAAATCCTATTGAGCGTATTGTCTGGAAGGATGCTATCAGTATCACCTTCGACCTGGTAAATCCATCATAGAATAAGTATTAATTCTACACCTAACCTTGGAAAAGACCCTCGGATTCTATCGTGGCACGGCGATACCAAACAAGGTTCAGAAAAAATTTCCATTAGGAACGCACAATTTCTCACCTGTGCAAATGATATCACGGCCCTTCGTAGGCGCGTCCCCGGTCCTTTCTTTTCCAAGTTTAATGTGCAAGCAAAGCGAATAACTATAGGATCAAGTATCTTTTAATCTAACTAACAGAAAACAGCGCGGCAACCAAGTCCCTGTTTACAATTTCACTTCAGGAAAGAAATGCATGTGGATGTCTGTGTATTTACGAACCACCTTAACAGCGTCTATAACATCAGCCATGAAACTAATTCGGAAGTTCGATAGTCCAACATGCACTTGCTTGTAAATGTTTTTATACTCTGGTNGTATCAAGTATCTTTTCATCTAACTAACAGAAAACACACTAGAGCGCGGCAACCAAGTCCCGTTTACAATTTCACTTCAGGAAAGAAATGCATGTGGATGTCTGTGTATTTACGAACCACCTTAACAGCGTCTATAACATCAGCCATGAAACTAATTCGGAAGTTCGATAGTCCAACATGCACTTGCATGTAAATGTTTTTATACTCTGGTACTGGTACTCAAAATGTCACAAGTAACAGCCTAATTACAACGGAATCAATTGCAGAGTTACAGGTCTATTCTGCGGTGGTAACATAAATCTTGTAACCGGTAATTAAAGTGTCTGTCAATTTTTAAACCTTTTTCGCATTCTGTACTCTTTTGTAACCGGTAAATTTGGTTACCATCTCATAAGCTAGTAACAAAATATTGCCCCGTGAAATATGCAATACAGGAATTTCCACAAATCTTCATAGCTGAATTGCTGAATATTTTCACTGCATTACCAACGTACCTGGAATCGCGGTGACAAGAACTGGTAACATTTTTTGGTAATAAAATTTTCCGGTTACAAAATCATCGGTAACGTGCAGAATAGACCTGCTAGTAGAATCTTGTAACTAAAAAATTTATCAACCGGTGGACAGTTGTCTCACTCATCACCCGTTTCTATCTGTAGAATGCAGGTAACAGTATTATTAATAACCAAAAACACACGCAATAATAAGTCGCAATTAAAATGCCACATTCGTATTGCTGGCAGGTAGAGTCAACACACCCGCGAATACCAAACAAACAAAACACTCTCGCTGAGAGCCACTCAATACGGTATTTCCGCCGCAACGACGCTAAATAAATGTTGCCCCCGCTGCTAACCAAGCAAGTCGAAGTTGGCAATATTGCAACTTGAACGCGCGCTCACATTGCAGGCAAAAACAATAGCAGACTGTGAAGCAGACAAGAGCGCACATAAAATTCGGGACAGAAAAACAAACAAACGATGAGAGAGCGTTTGTGAGAGCAAAGCAAGAAGGAGAGCGCGCGCGAACAAATATTGAAAGAACAACTACAAAAACACCACCACCACCAGCAAATAAACATGACAACAGCGCCGCTGACGTTGATGGCGCAGCACCATGGCAATAACAATAAGAAAATGCGCACTTATAGCCAGCAATGGGGAATTGAGCAACAACAAAGCTACAACTGTGACGACAATGGCGATAGTAACATTTTGCTGGCGTGTTAAGCCGCGCGCAGGGTGAGCGAAGTGTTGAAGGTTGGTTGTATGTCTGGTTGCAAACGACACAAACAAGAGCCCCGTCTGGGTTGCCGTCGCAACGAATGCGCGCGCTCTCGACTACCAAAACAGCAGCAGCAATGTGCGCGCAACTGACGCAGTGAATAGCGACCGCGCTAGCCTACCAAGCAACGGAACAGCACAACAAAAAACAGCAATGCAGAAAAAACACGTCATGGCAGCTGCAAGTAGGCTGAAAAGGTTTTGCCTGACAACGGCCAGCTGGTGGTGGGGCGCAGTGAGCGCGCTACAGGCCGCGAGTGTGAATGTGTGTGGAAAAAAGTAGCAGTAGTAGTGGTGGTAGCGGTGTTAAGCAAGCGGACAATGGCGATTTACAAAAGTGTTGCTGTTGCTGACGTTGTTTTTGTTGTTCGAATTGCATTCAATTAAATGCGCTACCGTCCGTTTTTAGGTAGCGTTGATGCATTTTTAGGCATGCGCGTGTATGTGTTAATGTGTATGTACATACGTATGTAGCTACTTACTTGAGTCATCCATTTCCTTTGAAATCTTCACCCACGCCTTATCCACCACATCCTTTTTCAGGTAGTGCGGATGCGAGCGATCGTACATGCAGGGATGACGCTCGACTAGCCGACAGATTTTCGCGTTAATTTGATAATTATCCGGTTTGGAATCGTTGGATGTGGACAGCCTCATTTTGCTTTGGTAGTTTGATACTTTGCGCAGTTGTTGTTGTTGTTCTTCTTCAGCACACAATCACTTGCTATGCACGCGGCGCGCACACATACCACGAGGAAAAAACTAACAACTGTGACAAGCGCCGCTTTGAAAATCCTCTAAACGCAGTTTTTTGACAAGTTTCGAAAATCACTTTTATGTAAATCTCTTTCTAAACACTATCACTAGCCACAATTGTTGCACTTAGCTTTTTTAACTGTTCCTTTTCACTCGAAAAATGAACAAGCGCTAGCTGAGCGCATACCACGCGTACGTTCCGCCAAGCCGTTCGATATGACTGCGACGATGATGATGAAATCGCCTAACAGCAACCAACAATTTTATATAATAACAGCAATTTTAGCGCTGAGCAACATGCAATTGTAGTCAACGAATGTTGGCCCGAACGAACGATAACGAATGACGATAGCGGCGCACACGAACAACTCAGAGTTTGGCTATGATGAAGGCGGCGATGGCAAACCTCCTCGAAAAAGCGGGCAATATCTACAACGGCAGGCGAGCAATTGAATGTGAAACGCGTCGACCAGCTCAGCCAAGCCGGGCGCTGAGTTGTGTTGCGTCGTACGGGGCGGCAGCGATTGCTGGTTGCTGCCTGCAGGGTATGGAGTAGGGGTAGTACGCGACAGGCAGCAGTGAGAAGAGGAATAAGAGCGTGTTTGTGTGTAAACGTGCGCGCGTTCGTTGAAGTGTTTGTGTGCGCGCAAACAACAGCAACAGTGGTGCGAAAACTGAACGAAAGTCATACATACATACATATAAATAAATAGTATATCGTCAACGACAACCAACGTGCCGACGACGTTAGCAACGGCTTTAGGTTGGCGTGGTCAAAGCAATGACGCGATAGCGAGCACTCTACCAACCTACTCATACAAATGCATGGTTATTGCTCACACGCACATACACACACACGAGCGCGCGCGCGCGACCTACCAGCAAGTGCTCCCTGCTGCTGCTGTTGCTGCTGCTGATACTACTACTGCAGCTACCTGACGCATGCCAACTCAACGATAATGACTTTGGTGGCGGGGCTACGTCACTGGCGTTGCCGTTGTCGTTTGGCGCTGACGAGGCGGCTGAAAGCAAAAGCGACGCGCCGTCACAAATTGTGTCGCGTTGTCGATAAAGTCGAAGAGACGTTTGCGGCCAGCCGGGTGGAGGCAATGGCAACACTGTTGCTGTGGCAATAC